CTTGGTCTCATTTCATCAATCATCCTCTGATGAAAGGATACAGGTGGCAGATCAGACGCACTCCAATGTTATGATGATGCGAGCTTTGCTCAGTTGCTCTCCGCGAATGAAAGGTACAATCGGGACAGGACGGGCCGCAGTGTTCTTCCAAGGAGATGCGCAGATGGGCTTTGTGGAAATCTGCCTGGGGGATGTGCCCTTCAATCGGGACATCGAAGGGTGGTTCGAACTACGCTACAAGGACCGGCTGCCATGTCTCTGCTTGAGTGATACCAACAGCACCTCGTCGAAGGATAACTTGCAGCGAACCAGTTCAGAGCGATACGAAGCCCACTGCCAGCGCCGTGATGCTGACTGCGGGGGTGGGGCGGCGGCAAGGCGCTTCATTCATGTCTGCAGCCTTGAGTCACTTGTCAAGATCCTTCTTTTGCAGGCGCAGACGGCAGAGCCGCTCAAGGCAACAGGAGCTCGTGCACAGCAGATTCGGATGGCGGGTTAGCACGGCTCAGCGGTTAGCAAACGGTTAGCACGTCAGGACGCAGAGCCGGCGGATACCAAGCTGCACTTGCATTTTGGCGCGATGTGGCCTTCATGTCAACATCATGTGTGGGGCGTGTGACATGCGAACGGGCACAGAAAACAGAGACTGATGCAAGGACACGCAGATGCTGATGCTGATGCTGATGCTGATGCTGATGCTGATGCTGACGCTGATGATGGTGATGCCGATGGCGATGATGATGGTGATGATGGTGAAGATCATCAATTTCATCATCATCATCACCAGACATGACCATGGCGGTGATGACGGTATTCATTCAACGAATGCATTGTGCACGTATAAACTTGGGGGTATTACCCGCAGACATCGAAAACACACCAGACCAACAGAAGGGAGACTTGTACAAACAAGCAAAAGGACTTCCTGATGGCCTATTTTGCATTAATCGTGTTCAGTGCACAGCTGCTGTAGATTCAAGAGCTGCTGTAGATTCAAGAACCGACAGCTGCCGACTCTGAGACCAGAAATGAAATCCAATCGTCACAGCCTTGTGGCTCCGCCGCCTAAACCCTAATCCCTGAACCCTAAGCCCACTGCCCTAAACTTGAACCCGAACCATGGAGCCTTGAATCCATAGCTCTAAGATACTCTAAGCCTCTTTCAGCCGGTGGACGCGAAGATTTTGCGGCCTAGGTGATGCCGCAAATCTGCACCGGCTGCATCCTCCGAGCACGGGATACCGCAGTATGTTATAGTGTATATATATATATATATAGTATTACAGTATGCTGCAGTGCATTATGGTAGGCTATAGATGGTTATAGTATCTTCTAGCACATTGCAGTGTAATATAACATCTTATAGCACATTACGGTACATTGTCATTGCGTTATAGAAAGTTTTGTTGTCGTTATAGTATGTATAGGTTGTGTTCATTGGAGTATGCTGTCGTATATTGTCATATGCTGTCGTATGTTATAGCAGCTCCTGGCATACCGGAGTACGTTATAACATATTGTGCAATCTTCTAGTATGTTGTAGTAGGTTATTATGCTTTATAGTGTCGTATAGCATATTCTTGTTTTATGCTTGAGATTGTTACAATAGTACATTGTGCTAATGGTACATTCTGGTAGACTGCAATATGTTGCAGCATTTGATAGGCTATTATCGTATGTTAGAGTATACCATGGTTAGGTATAGTATGCTATTGACCATAGTATGCTATCGAACATTATGGTACATTAACTATATGTTGTAGTATACTCCGGTATACTATAGCATGTTGTAGTATATTATGGCACATTAGCGTATGTTCTATCATATTCTCGTATATTTGCGTATACGAGGGTATCGGCTTCAGGATAGGATCGAATATGATATAATGGGGTTCCCAAGAGCAGTGCAAGAGAGATCCCGGTAATGCTTCGAGTTTTGCATTCTGTATACTACTACTTCTCACGTGTCTTTAGCTATGTTTATCATCACATTCATTCATGTAAGGATGCAGTTCAGGATGGTACTCCTTGATTCCGCAGCTTCTTGTCTCACATTCGGCTGGATCATACTCCGAGGCGTAGGCGGGGTCCAGGCAGGCAGCTCGTCGAAGCAGCACCCAGAACATCCCCGGAAGCGAAGGGCTCTCCAGACTCAAACACAGCCTGAAAGAGCAACCCCTGAACCGTACACCCTAAAACCCTCAACGGCTCCTCTAACTGCCGCTTTGTCATACCGCGGAAGGTGTTGTCGAAGCTGCGGGGTGCCATCCTTCCAGTGAGCACCAGTCTCTCAAAGCCTATTATACCACATATCACATATACTACACTATACTAAATAATACTATGTGACATTGAACGACAATGTACCACAATACACTATGACATACTGTGATATTTCGGAACATATGTGAAAATATTATACCGTCATCTATTACAATATACTGCGAAATTGCAGTGGCTGCAGGGGGCCTGAGCAAGCCGCAGGGCTCTCAGCGGTCATGAAACCCTCTCCACATCTGAGCTGACACAGCTGAGGATCCCAAGATCTCGTCGGTAAACTCGCAGCTGAGTAGAGAAACTAAACTAGGACAAAAAAATATGATAAGAAACTCAGTGGTATTGGAGTAGACGACAATAGACAGTATGATAATATAGTGCATTATGAAATAACATACTGAAATATACAATATACTGCAACACTGCAATATACCATCATAGCTCGCTGACTTCGCGTGCTGGCACCTCGCAACCTTGACTAACTCTTGCTGTCACGAAAAAGCTCCGGACACAAGGCACAGGCTTAGGGTTTAGGGGTTCATGGACTTCCTTGCTGGTTTATCTCTCTGTGTACTCTCTCCTTCCTGGTTTCGGTGTCATAGACATGAGCGGACATCCAGCTCAGCGTCTTTGCTCACTCTTCGGCTGCTTCTTCTTCTTCTGCGCTCCAGCTCTCTCTTTCTCTTCCGCTCCCCCCTCGCCTATGCACTGACCTGACTTTCAAGTGTCAGAAAGGTTTTACAAGCATGGGGAAGGTGGGCGTCGAACATAGCATCACCAACAGGATCCCTCCTGTTTTGACCAAGCACAGGCCTTGAAAGGAACTCAGCATGGACGCACGGGGCTCAACTTCGTATTACCCCGGCCACTGCTTTGTTTAAACGCGCGTCGGCTGGCAGAAATCTTGTGGCACAGGCAATGCAGTTACATGGAAAACAAAAGCTAGCATATACTGACAACCAGAGTGATTCTCGGCTACGGTAGTCAGGTTGAAGCTTTCAAACTTGCCTGGCGACTGGAAAACTCACAAGAGACCCCTCTCCGCCACCAATCACTTCTAATCAAACACTGCCTTCAACAGCCAAGCCAAAATCACGATACGGCACTACGATATATGATGATCCGAGGCAACTCATGCCATGAAAGACTATCCGACGTCGGCCAAGCATAACAACGCATGACGAAACAAAGGGCAGTCTTCCAGTAGAAGGCTTGCTGACTGTCGGCTGAAGGCGGACAGGTGGCCTTTCTCGGAATTGGGCTACCATTGCTGAGCCTCTGAGAGCAAGCATCGTCATGTTGGGTCAACACTAACATCATTGTCATGACCAGGATCATCGTTTCTGACGTCATCATCACCATCATCATCACACTCGTCACCTCTTCATCAGCAGCATCATCTCAGCCAGTGCTGATCGCACCACAGCAATAGCACATAGAACACGACGCGCAAGGACACGATTGCATCATGAAGAAAATTGGAAAAGCATGGCGGAGGCTGAAGGATACTCATGACTGCTGGAGCCCAGAAGCCCAGTTGCCGAGAAAGCGGCCATGTTAATGTCTCTCAAAATTCGATCATCCTAGGGTGTCTTCTACAAGTGCCCCAGAGGGGCCACTGACTGGGAACTTTACACATTTCAGGCACAAGCTTTTGCTTGCAGCAATTTCGTCTAAGGCTGCTGGGGCGGAGCCCACCAACCACTGGCATGAAACAGAAACCCCCAAATAGACACCCCCCTTGGTAATTCCAAAGCGCGAGACCTCCGAAACCTTACAGTCCTCAATCTTTGCTTCACAAACACTACAGCCTAAGACCCAACCCCGTCCACACGCCCTGCCAGATCTTGCGGATCTCAGCAGTCGATGAAAGGATGCTTCCCGGATCGCTGAACTGACCGCGCCTGTTCGGGGAACTCATAAGATAAGGTGGTATGGTTCAGAGGGCATTGGCCTAGGAATCAAGGCTTTGGGTTCGAAGGCCTCGTAAGAAGCGCTGGGCAGGGATTGGGCATTGGAGTATGAAAACGTCGGCCATTTACCGTGGATGCGTGGTGTGGACGGTAGCCGTAGCTACTACTTTAGTCTCCATGACTGTTGTTTCATTGTGCCGCAGAAGGACCAGAATAATTCAGAAGATCACGAGCGATCTGCAGCACCGTCGGTATCACAACACCGGGCTCACACTTACCACACCTTTTCGGGCTCCGGGAATGCCACGAGAGCCGTGCTGCAGCGGATCTTCGGGAATACAATGTTTGTTGTTCCGATTCCCAAAGGGATGACGCTCATTGCTGTCAGCGGTGGCCTTACGTCGAATGTGGCCTCACTTCAAAACACAAGCTGAGTCGTTTCGGTCTCCCTTTTTGCTGCCAGCGATTCTTCCACTGTACAGTAGCATGGGCAGTAGCACTATGACTGCGAGACTATTCGCAACGGATCCCCGCAGCACAAATCCGAGTGTTGGCCTGGCATTGCAAGGAAAATCGATAGAGCAAATATGGCAGGACGAATGAGTTAAGAAACCGAGTACACCCAAACACATGGCATGTGGTCTGCTTTGACAAAATGATGTCCTACACGCAGTCGAACCCAACCTTCTGATCTTCCACAGTACAGAGAAAACTTTTGCACACTTTAAACTCGCTCTTGGAGCCAGGAACATGCTGGAACTGCAGCTCAGCTGCCAAAAACGCACGACCTGCCAGGAGCCTCCAGGACGAGAGGGAATCCTCCCCACTGATTACTATGATTCCTGCCAATACTATGAATACTATTACCATGAATTGCATTACGTGTAGTTCCCAGGGACTCCAAAACCCTTAAATTAAGGAATATACCTGAAAATCTTATAAGGGTTCCCATTAAAAATCTCTGGTGCATTCTTGAATTCAGGGTTTTTGGAGTCTCTGGCAAAACTAAAGCTGTAAAGACACGGCGCCCGAAGAGTGCCTGCCATATCCCAGTCCAAGCCCCGAAGAACCTACAACCTCAATGCCCCACACTCGGCATCTGAATGCTGAAGCCAGCCGTATATCCCAAAATCTCCATGCCGGAGCTCTAAAAGCCCATGACCCAAACATTCTGAACTTGGGTAAGGCGAGCATGTTTTGTGATTCAAGCTCATGTGGGTACCCCGGCGCATGCATTCAACACGCCTGCACCTTCGACCTCCTTGAACCGCAAACTGTGGGCTGGCCGATGCTCGGATGGCAACAGGGCTGAACAGCTGCATATGCAGACCCAACAACCTGAACCCTGAACCCAAACCCCAAGCCCTATAAACCCTGAGCCCGAAACCGTAGATCCTGTCTACTGTTCAACCCAGGCTTTCCGAACCCCAAATCTCGAGCCCCTCAGGCCATTTAAACCCCCCAATCCGAACTCCTCCTCTGGGCCCCTATCTCTACATGTTTATGGGGTTTAGGGTTTAGGGTATGCGTGTATATATATATATATATACACACACATATTTCATACATATGATCAAGTCTTGGAAACTCCCGGTCTGGCAAGCGAGTTCATGGGACTCCAGAAGAAGACTGCTGCAAAGGTTGGCTTGTCCTCCTAACTTGTGGGGAGGGAGGGGGTTAGGGTTTGGCTGCGCACGTGGATGGACAAGTGTAGACTTAGAGAGGAGATGTCTGGGCCGTCCTCTCCTGCGGGCTTTCTGGCGGCCACGAGGGGAGAGTTGCAACTCTGCTGCAAAGGCTTAAAGCAGAAAGCCAGGTGCTAGACACTGCGGCAGGTCACGAAGATGAAGCCTCGAACTTCCCAAGCTAAATAGACTTTACAACATCGACCCAAACTCACCGGGCCCTAAACCGTACGACTTGAATCCTGCGACTTGCTTTGCAACGGCTGAAAGCTACAGATTGAACCTTCTCCCATCATAGGCCAGCAATCTCACCGTCACAGAAACTGTCGAACATGGCCCGACGCCCAATTGGCTTTCAAGGTCCTAGGCCTGCCGCTTCACACCGTTGTTCAGTTTCTCGTGTTTCATGACCCCGTCCTGGCACATCTGTGTGTGGTTCACGCAGTGAGGGGGGCGTGCAGTAGAAGAGTTCGAAATTGAGAGTTTTGATCCGGTCATGCATCTACCTGACACATCTACCTAACCTAACAGTTAAGTTCTTCTGGCATTGCGCAGCTCAGGATTTCTGCAGTTTTGGGTTGAAAGAGCTCGAGCCGTCTTGGGCGGAGGAGTTGCCGAGGTTTTGAGTTTTCGGACCGCTTAGGATTGATCTATCACGGAGCTTCTTCATCCGCCTATGACTACAGTAGAAAAGCAGTGCCCGGCTACACCCCATGTGGGCCTCATTATCACAGCCAAAAACGCCTTCTGAGATTTTGACAGCATCAGCAATGCATCTGAAAAGCCCTTTGTCGATTGAGTCAGGAGAGCCCAAAAGAAGTTCGAATGGCATGCTGTTCGCGCGCCTCCAGGACCCATTTCTCGTTGCAGATCCGCTCTACGAAGTCGCTCTTGGGCTCGATCATGATGATTCCCCCACGGAAGTTCGTGAGAGCCTCGATCGCAAGAAGGGTGTATAAACGTAGCTGCTACATGGCAACAGAAGTTAAAAAGGGATAGAATGCCCATCCGTGAAGGTGTGGACCAACTATAGTTATAGTCAATCCGTCAGGCCTTCCAGTGTTGACTTTCTGCTGTCTGGATGGTCTTCCCATGTCAAAACACACCAGATCTGCCAAACACACGAATCGCTCGACCCGCATTCCCCCCGTGGCACCTTGCCCAGTGCATCCACCGTCTCAACATCCAGATAGTTCGTGGGCTCATCCAGAGCGATGAAATGCCTTGGGGGTGACCATCAGGCAGGTCACTTCAAAAAATAGGACCAAATCTCCCAGCTGTCATCCGAGAATGCAAACACTGGCAGGATGAGTGTCGGACGGCTTTGTCCAAAACATTGCTGCTAAGGACAGCCGCACCTGATGCAACACCGGAGAATGCCTTCGAGTTACTAGTTGTCACTTTTGCTGTCCATGCGTTGTTTGTTACCATCATTGCTTCGTGGAGGAGATGGGGAGGTGTGCGGGTTTAGGACTTCTGCTTGCCATGCAGTGTGCCTTAGCAACTCCCGTCTCAGGGATTCCACAGTCAGTCAGACTAAGTCCGCAACTATACTATACTATATTGTACTGCTCTCCTCTTTTCTACTGTACAGTATTAAGGCCCAACGAGCACTCGCCGAACGGAAGAGGCCTTCTGTCCAGCGGAGAAGCCGCGAATCTGACGATTGCAGCACATCTCCTGGTCAGGCCGGTAGGGTTTAGGGTTAGGGTTTGGGGGTTTAGGGTTTAGGGTGGTCATCAGTGAACTGCAACGAATACTAACATGCTGCTTAATGGGCACCAACATCTGCAGAAAAGGCGAACTACCTGTCAACCTCATCGATCCAAGTGTAGTATGATGTCCCTAATATCTCTATACTCTACTATACTGTACTGTACTGTACTATACTATGCTATATACTTTGCTATGCTATACAGCTATACTATACTGGACCATACTATACTATACTATCAATGCTATGAACTGCAACGAACGCGAAGGCGCACAATGCCGGATGCTTGACGGATCCTCACGGGACACCTTCGAAGCCCATACTCTGCAGAAAGAGCGAACTACCTGTCAACCTTCTCCATCCCCTTATAGTAGTATAACATGTGATCCCGGATGTAGCTATACTATACTGTGCTATACTCGGCTCTTTAAACGGCAGTAAGGCCCTTTTACGACCCCGTTGCTGCGGACAGCTGGGCAACCAGCCTCATCGATGCCGAAAGCCTCGCAATGCCTGCTGGTGAAGGCAAAGTGGTGTAGGGTTTAGGGTGTAGTGTTTAGGGTGCAGGTAGGGTGTAGGGTTGGTTGGTTTCAAGACGCTGGTGTGTCAGCTAGAGGGGTTTGGGTTGACCAACTACCCCTATAGAACCGGAAACCCGGTGGTTCAGGATTTAGAGCCGGTGGTTTTGGATGTCGGGCCAGACGGTTTGGGAGTTACACTGAGGTTCGGGTTTGGGATTCGGGCATAGTTTGCACGCCCTCTAGTTTTTAGAGTGCAAAACCCCAGTGGTACAAACCTTCCTACCATGCTCCATCCTCGCCTTGAGCTCAGGATATCCGAAGCTCACAGTCGCCGTGAAAGTTGAAAACGAGAACCGGCCCCGGGAGCCCCAACACCCAAACAGGGGGCTTCCGAAAATTCGGGGGTTACTCTCTGCCTCTCTGTGGGACTCAGCATAATCAGGATCCTTTTCTGTCGGGAGTGGCTGTATCGGGTCCCATGGTGGTAGGAACTCCCAAATCAATCTCAAGGGCGAACAGTCAATGTCAAACTTTGGGTAAGGGTCGAACAATCACTCGAGCTTCGGGCTAAGGGCTCTTGTGCCAAGGCCCTTAGAAGCTAAACGGTGTAGTATAAATAACGAAATCAAAGATCTAGCTAATCAGGTAGCCAGCCTCGAGCCTATCCTCCTAGCTAAACCGGCCGGTGGCCTTATAACCAACAGGACGCCGTAACATGTTTTGTTGGAACCCGTCGCAAGATCCCGAACACTCCTTATAACGCCCAGATCTGACACCTGGAGGTGGCTCCACACCACTTGTGCATGATGAGGCTATCTATTTCCCCTAAGCAGTAAAACTCTCCGGCCTGACAATCTCCCGCCGTGTGAGCGGACGCTGGTCGAGGCCCGCGGCCTGGCTGAGCAGATGTCATTTCGGCTTTTGAGATTTGGTGGTACTTACTTTGCCACTGGCTATTAAGTACGATTACACGCACCATCGCGACAAAGACTGACACCATGGTTCGGAGCCCATTCTGCTTGGGCGACGTCATGTTGATTCTGGCTTTTTTGGACTCTCTAACCCGCATGATTATGGCACGAAGCATGTCGATGACTCTGCTTATAGCTTTGGTGCAAACTCCAAACCGTCGGACTGCGACAGCTCCCCAAGCTCACGCCCAGATTCGCGTGAAGGTGACCCACCCGCGTGAAGTGGACCCACACACCACGAAACTGAACGAACACGCTGGGCTTCAAGAGCGCAGCCTGACATGTCAAATCTGCATGTAGCACGAGACTCGTCGCACTAAGTAGCGCATAGTGCATTGCACGCGAAAACTGCTACGGCTTTGTACTGTATCGTGACAACGTGTTTTAGCTGGGTTTTGCATTTCGCCAGACATCTGGCTCCCGGAATCCACATGTGCTTGTCGGTGCGAGACGACTTCCGGCTCACTGCCTCATGAGTTTTTGTATCCCCATGTGCACGCCCATGCGAGAAGACTTTACATACGGAGAGCGACTTAACCCGAGTACTCGTACAGTCTTCTCGTCGAGTTGTGGAAATGGCCGCCACCGCCCCCACCGCACCATCATAATCACAGTAAATTAAACTGGTGAGTTCGTTCGTTTGTCCCTACTGTAGGTGGTGGCTTGTGTAGTGTGCAAAACTGTTTGTTGGGTGCCGGAAGCAACCTTGGCGGCGATCCGCTCGTCGCAGGCGATGATGACCTTGTCCAGGCCCATCGCCTTGCAAAATGATCTCGTTCTGGGACCTAAGGTGAAGCCCCAAACCCAAAACCCTAAACGACAGACGGACAAATCCTTCAGCCAGCCTGTGTTCGATCCACACACTGCGAGTAACCCACCTGAGGAAAGAAACTCCTTTCGGCAGTGCACCTTCAGCTTGGAGATGGGCTCCACAGTGTTCTGCTTCGGATCGTCCAACCCGTCCTTTGATGGAGAAAGTACAGCAAGCCGTATGGGAAGACAAGAGAGCACATTTGCCTTCCACCTTAGAGTCACTGCCTCAGCTCCGAGCCCATCTAACCTCATAGGCCAGGTGGTTGCCGACCTGCCCAGCTCGTTTGCACAAAGCCTTCGTGTTGAAGCCTCGGGAAGAGAGGCACCTGTGAGTGCAAAGAGGAGCAAAGTCGCCCCAGAAAAAACCGCGTCAGTTGGACCGAACAGCTCACTGGCCACCTTCGTTCGGCTCACCAACTCCGCAACTTCGTTGCCGTACTTGCCATGCTGCTTTGCAAGCTCCTCTGAAGCTGCAGACATGGCGGTGCCGCTAGGTCTGATAGATTTTGATAGTGTCCAGACAAAACGATGTATACAGGTTGTTCAGGTAGTACGGTTCGGGCCCGCTGATGTACTAGGATTACACGAACTGTGCCAAAGAACGTTCTTCTGGACAAAGATTATCGAAGTAGAGGTGCGGCGCCGACCAAACATCTTTCAGGTTGATGGATGGCATGTCTGGCGGTTTCAGAGAGATCTGTGCACCTGCTGCACTATGCCAGCGCCGCCAGTCACCTATCCTGTACTTGCACGGATGCTGCACGCTGCGCCGTCGTCCGATGCGTTCGGGAGGATGGTTCCGAAGAGGGCAAGATACGTCAGAAGGGGGCACAAGCACGGGTTGCAAAGCAAAAGGCGGCCTCTGAGCAAACCACAACATAGAGAGGCCTATTCAATTGCCAATACTATTTTGGGGGTTCCTTCTTATAGTTATAGTGTACTATACCCCAAAACCCTATTCAAATTATTGAGGCCCTTATTTTAGTGCTGGCACGAGACCGAGTGCAGCTGCCTCACCCAAACCCTGTCTCTCGAAACCGTGCCATTGGCATCCTTCCGCCGCAGGGCATCTTCTTCATCTTCTGGCCTCGAGCGAAGAAGCAAGCAGCTTCGGCCACGATTGCCATCGACGTGTAGCAGTTTCTACATGAAAGCGCGAGAGATTTGGTAAGAGTTCGGCTCTATCAGCCTTTTCTGAAGATCGCCGTCGTAGCCATCCTGCTGCTTGGCTCAACTGTACGAGGCCGACGCCACTCGCGGGCGGATGCAACGGACACCGGCAGATACATGGAGGCAAAACGCCGTAAGGCATACTGCTCCTTGAAGCGCTCGGTGATGTATACAAACCTCCATCACTAGCAGATGGCTGCCACAACTAGAAGCTTCTGCGAAGGGTGGCACAGTGCATCGAGCAGCTGAGTCGATGCATTCAACTAGGGAGTCGGCGGCGAAGTGTCGAAGAAGGGTCCCAAGGCTTTGAGGTGATCCTGACGGATGTGCCCGCAGAACTTCTTACAATCAAGCCTCCAAGCTTTATGTTTGTGAGTTTGGCACATGAGCGACCCCCAACAAAGGATGTGTCCTGCTTCATGTAAGCGAGGCGGAGGTTGTGATGTCGCCAGACCTGCCACCACATATGACATGAACTGTGGGGAGCTCGTCTTAAGCGTAGCAGCGATTGCAGCTTCGTCACTGCCGGTCTTATCTCTCTCCTTTTGCTGTCAGTGTTCTCCGTAATTGCTGCCCGTCTTACTATTCCGATTCGTTGCGATTCGCACAGGGCCTCCCCGTGGCCGCCGTCCTTGTTGTCCGAGGGATGCAACCTAGTCAGGAGCAAAGCGGATGCGGTGAGTCGGTAGGGCGCATAGGGTTTATGCATTAGTGCGAATGTGCCGGGGACCAGGCTCGCTGCACAACAATGTCATTAGGGTCGATTTTCCGCAGCCGTTCCTGTTGCCCGAACAGTGCCAGTCCAGGGACCACAAAACAAACTCTCATTCCGACATGTGCCCACGAGAAGCCTGCAATACAAAAGACTCCGACACATATCGAGGTTGATCAGGCTAGACTTTACCTGCTACACAATTGGAAAGATCAGGTTGCAGCAGGGCTAAAGGACAATCCAGGCTGCCACGACAAGTACAACAAGATACTGCAATACTGCAGGTACAGACATCCACTCGGCGCGATATCAACCTGTGCAGGTTCATCTTCCCAGCGAACATATTAAGGCAAGCCGGTGTTTGCCCCTTTCAGGCTTGAGCTATACAACTGAATATCTGCATGTGCTTCTCAGCTTGGAAAAACCACACGTACATGAGTGGAAATCTTAAACCCAAAGAAGCATGCATTTGGGTCCTGCCGCAGATGGCCACGCGAGAGCTTAGACTCAGCTTGCCGGTGCAGTCTTGGAAGAGGTAATCCTGTGCCCGGAAGAAATTGAAATATGTTACCTGTGTGTGTGTGTGTATATATATATATATACATATTACTATACATGCATACATGTCTTCACTGTTTATATACGCATGAAGCCTGAAGGTTTATAAGTCCTACGTGAATGGAGCTGAACTTAGCTGCACACCCTCGGCCACCTCTTTTCACCGAAACCCCGTGTGCAAGATCTCCATGCCTTGTCCTTCGAAAACCGGAAGGACACGTGCCTCGGCTGCAGAACCACAACGCAAGTATGAACAACAATACCTACTTAGGTTCAGACTCAACTCATGTTCCTGTCAGCGTGAGCAGGGGGAGCAAGCAAGTCGCGAACTCCTTAGCTGCGGACCTGTCGCATACATGAATTGGTTGTGAGTTATCTGCAATTGAAATGTCATTTGACATGCAGAAGTGTGATTCGAAACTACCAGCTACTCCTGCCTACTGCCATGATCCATACCAGGATATCTAGCAATGCTAAGAGCACTGCTGGCATCAACAGTGCTTTGCCTCATGACATTTGCAAGCAACTTTGTTGGCGAGTTGGTTGTATTGTCCTTGTGACCCCTGGTTGCTTCATTTCATTCCTTCTTCTTCTTACGTCGCTGTCATGTTGTCGGCACCATCAGGACTGGCTCCTTAATCGTCAGCGGCGAAATAGCCTTTGTGAATAGCTATGATCAGTCATTGCCGTCCATTCCTGTCCACCACCTCCTCCTTCTCATCTTTGTGTTTGTGGCTCTGGGCTTGATTATTCTCCTCTTCTTTAGCAACTTCCCAAAAATCTCGAAACAGCCAAAGCCCTGCCCTTCGAAAGCCCCGGCATCTCATCCCTATCACATCCCACACTGCAACTCCGACCCTACAGGCACGCCCGACCTCTGAAGGCCTCCTATCGAAGAACCCCCCCAAGGCCCTGAAGAACGCAAAACCGTAATTGAGACCGCGGCTTAATCTCCAGGACGCTTTTCGAGCCGGTCCTGAGCCATTGCTTCCACTGTCTCTCACTTACCATTGTCTCATGAGTTGTAGAATTCATTTTGGGCCTCTTGATCCCCTAATGCCTCATCACAAAACCACAACCCATTTTTCTCGACCCCATGGCTCGGAATCAGTAGCCTAAACCCAAAACCCAAAGCCTCCAACCCAAAACCCAAAGCCTCCAACCCAAAAAGCCCCAAAACCCTAAACCCAAACCCCAAAACCCAAAGCCCCAAAACCCTAAACCCAGAACCTGCCCCGAATCAAGAAAAACCCGAACTCTGGGGTCTCGGGCTTCACGCCCTCCATCGACCCAGGGATCGGGAAGGTGAGCTTGGGTGGCCCAGCCACAGGAGCTGAGACCTAAAGAGGGGCTTTCAGGGGGGGATTTCTGGTTTTGGGTTTATGGTCTCTTAGGGTGTTTTAGGGTTTTTTAGGGTTATATAAGGGTTTAGGGTCAGGCTACAGGATCTCGCCGGGATAGCGAACTTGAAGTTGCAGCGTGTTGAAATGCCAAGGGTTGCTATGTCGAGGCTGTGAAAGATATTTAAGTTCTGAGGGCTTCACATGGCCAACCGTCAACTACAGTCAAACCCGAAGCCTACTGCGGTGATACGCCAACCGCTGCATGGGAAGAGAATAAATGGAAGAGTTCTAGGGCTGCGCTTCGCGCACCTGCCAGGATCGACATCAGCACTTTGATTCGGAGGTTCATCACGCACGCACGCTTCGCCGAAAGCTGTTGTCGGCTGTCGTGGTCACTGCTTTCTGTTGCTATCGTTTGTTTACAGCATTCAGCGATACACACGTACTTCATTGCTGATCTTGCATTTCGTGCGCGGTAAGTGTGAGATTTTGTTCCCTAAACCCTGAGCGCAAATTGCGTGCACTGAGGATACGGGGATGCCGCCGTGGCTGAGCCTCCAGCTTTGGGGACATCACCTGTCCGGTAGGGTTGAGGATCTGGAGCTTTGGGCTTTGCGGGTTATTTGGCTGAGCAGGACAAAGACGAATCAGGAGATGAGATGTCTCCAGGAAGTACAAAACTATCATATAAACTAGAAGATCCTGTAACATACTGCAATACGGACTAAAATATAAACTAGAATCGGCGCGATAGCATTCTACAACATAGAATATGCTACAGTATGACCTACTATGATATGAAACCTTCTGGAATTCGCAGGATTTCTCTCAGATGTCTGTGGCCGGCCATGGCTGGCCAACAGAAACACGTCATGTTGGAGTTTGCGAAAATAAGGGGTACCCTATTTTGGTACTTTATTTTGGGCTTAGGGTTTAGGGTTTACCATATGGTAGTTTCCGACAATAAGGGGTACCTTACTTTGGGGGTCCTTATGATAAGGATCCTACGATTTAGGGTAGTATATTAGGGTCCCGTATTTTCGGAAACCCCCATCTTGTGGAACTGCCAGAACCAGGTTTTCGGTCTTTAAGGTTTGGGGCGCCGTAACCATGAACATAAGGCTTTGGGGGTATACTACTCCTTCCGCAACCCTCAAAATAGATGACAACTTAGGCCTTGGGACTGGCGGGGCCAGCTGCAGGAGTACGCGCATCGAGAAGCTCGTGCCTCCTTCCTCCTCATCCTCGCCCTCCTTCTTCGTGTCGAAGCTCAAGTTACCAGAAAGCATGGAGTCGATCTGCTCCTGTAGGATCAAGCAGAGACAGCTGCTGCCAGCAGCTTCTTTAGAGCTACGTGGTGGCGATCACTGTAGCAAGCAGCAGGGCGGTCCCTGCTCAGACCCTTCTTCTGGGCGAAGATGTCGAAGTTGCCTCGCGGGTCCGACAACAGGGGTCACAACTCCGTGACCGAACACCAGAATCGTAACACTACTAATGACAATCATACTGAAAAACATAGTCAGCATCAAACTCACGATACTCAAACTGATCAGAATAGCAGTAACAACAATAACGACCACCATAACACTGGCCAGATCCTACTGGGGCAAATTTTCAATTAACACAAGATGCGCCAAGCACGTATGCAAGGAGGCATGCATGTTAACATGCATGAAACCATGTCTGTAAATGCAACTATATCACTGTCGTGAGCAAATACCTGGCTCTAGTTCGTCAGTCTGTGTGCCAGCCTATCCGTCTGTATGCATGCAGTCATATTTGCAGACATGTAAGCATGTGTACATGCAGCCATGCGTCTTTGGCTACGTCTGCTTGTAGGAGGCATGCGACATTTATATGGGTCTTCATGCACATGGGTAAACACTGGCAACGATGCATGTATGCATGCATGCTGCATGACTGCACGTATGAATTTGTGTATGCATGCATGCATGCATGTGCCTACCTTCAAGGCCAGATATTTGTCACATAGTCCGCATGAACTTCTTGATGCATGTTTACAGTGTCAGGGATCCGAGATGTGGAAATCTTGAAATGTGCGCTGTGTGAGTGAACAAGTCGTTGAAGCAATTTCCCTCAGTTTCTCTGTCCGGGTCTGTCTGTAGCTGCGTGTGCGCAGAGTGCATGCACGGCTGCGAATGCTCATACATACTTCCCGCCACAAGCAACCAGTATCTGCTGCTGGCCGTCTGGTCGTCCTGCCCTCTCTGGCGTTGCCTTCTGTGTACTCCAGCTTCTTGTCCACATATGCGACCACCTGCATAAAAAGGTTTACGACTGGATTCAAAACCTTGAGCTCTAGCATGACAGACTGAGGCCAGGACATGAGTGCAGATCTTGTTCAGGAACTTGGGTTCGTGAGAGATGACCTGGCTCACACCGAAGGTCGCTTGCGACAAGCTGAGGATGAGGCAAAACACTACACTGCTGACCGGCAAAAAATTCCCCTGGTGCGGCAATTTGGTTGAAGACATGCAAAGCAGACCATGACGGAAGATGATGTGATGGACAGGATGTAGTCCTGAGGGTTGGCAGCTCTCCCAAAACTGCGGCTCATGAGGTTCAAACGATCGAGTGGCCGCAGTGCTCTTTTCCTTATGGGTCATAGTATACTACGTAATTCGGCAGCTTATAACATCGTTGTTCGTATAGCTTTCTACATGTTACCCCAAGCTTCAAAGCCTCGTCCTATGGGTGCAATGCAATCGCGTCATTGCTGCGCTGCTCGGCCAAGGCAAAGGCGCTTAGCCACCGGACGGACTCCTCGTCCAGATGGTTCCTCGAAGTTCAGAAGTGACAGCGCAATCCAACCGGTGTTCTGGATGGTTGCAGCAGTAGAAGAAAGCGCAACGATGACAGAGTCTCGGTCACAGAACAAAACAGTCAAGCTGGGGTCCAGGTCTGTCTTCTCGCCACCAGTGAACATCCGCAGATCACTCAGGCACCGACGTGGGCTCATCCAGCAGAACCAGATCTGCGTGCTTCAGCATCGACACGGCCAGGGTCAAGCGCATCCTCCAAAGTTGATGTTTCAGCAACTAGTTCGGTCAGCACTAGTTTCAGCGACTCGAGACGAGCCTCCATCCTGTCGACAGCTCCGAAACCGGATCGTTTAGCTTGGCCTCATCGAAGCCAACCTGCAAAAGTGAAACTGGAACACTGCCTTTTGCCGGCTGCAAACTTGCCCCCATGAAAAGCCTCACCTTCAGCAGAGTGTCTCTTCCTGCATCGTTTACGCCAATATCCTGCCAGGACAGGCAACCCACACTATAAACTATACTCCTATGAAACCCCAGGTACCTGTCACCAAGGCAGACCAACGAACAACATCCCACGGTACATGGTGATGAGTCATCCTTGGCCATCTTGATGCAGTACTCCAGCGCCTGGTTCGCTGGCTCAAAACAAGGTAGGTGCCCGCCAGAAATCACCAGATCAAACATCCTTTGACATATGTACCATGTAAACAGTATGTAGCATCTATAACCAAATCATCGGTATTCTGTGCTGCGCTGTGTAATGTCTACGAGGTACTAAGCATTCAAAATCATCCAGGGCCCTGGCTGTCAAGTAGCTCTTGCTCATTTCCCCCAGCTTCGAGTCGTCCACGTGGACGCACTTCAAGTCCTCGCTTGTCGGAATGGAAGGGGGCCCGGGCTCTCGGACAAACGGCGAAGCGCCGAGCTGTTGTGACAAATCACTTCTTGCAGTTTTTGAACTACTCTACCATGCCTGGATCAGCTGTTGAAGGCTAAAGGCCCTTAGGGACTTAGGGATTAATGAAGGGAGCAAGAAGCAGAAGAGACCCGAAAGCGCTGGCGCTCTTCTCTGAATATTGACAAGGGCAGCGCAAGATGACACGCCCGCTGCCCAAAACAAAAAAGGCTTTCATGGCCGGTCCGACGGCATGCCCACGATGCGATGTGCGGCGATTTCTTTCATGAGGGTGGTCTTGCCGGCCCCGTTGTGACCTGAAGCATCACAACCACGGGCTTCTTCGATGCAGAGCGGACTGACGTCCATGTAAACTTTAGCGAATATGCAGTGCACGCGGCAGTGTAGCTAAATCATGGTTGGCGGATGCCTTCCTGGTTCATTGAAACTGGGATTAGCAGATAGATCCTGTCGCTGCCAGCCAAAAGAGCATGCAATCAGTGCTCCTGATACCCGGGCCTACCACACCATACCGGCAATTCTTCCGCATCTCCAGCGTGGTGTCCTGCGCAAGACATAACACAAGCTGCAGCACAAAAGTCCCGAAACATCGAGAGGCTGCCAAGATCTGCAAACGAAATGCCGCCACACCCTCCTACATCTGCAGCCCAGTCCTTGAGCAACAAATGCCCCGCACCATACATCAGGAGCAGGTTCTCTACACGAAGCCTGATAGCACGAGTGTGGGCGAAATGAAGCCCGGTTGAATCTTGAGGGCGAGCAGCAGGTTGTCTGAGTTCCACACAGCATTTCATCATCATCGTCGCCTCCATCAGCGTGGGCATCGAACGCGTCCTGCTTGCCGCAGTTCGCAGCAGTCCACAATGACAAGATGTCTCGGCGACTGTCCACAGCAAACTCAGAACTGAACATTATCTATCTCATGAAGTGCCTCTGCCTGAACCTCGGAGTTCTGGACCGCCAAACTATCTGTATGCGATCAGCGTCACAAATACCCCTGGCATTAGGCTGCTAAGACTGTTGCTCACACTGGTAGCTCACAGCTGCGTGCGGTTGTTCGAGCTGCGAGGCTTCAGGCTGAACACACCTTCTGGCCCACGACTTGCAAGCAGAACAGCCGTCGTACGATGAGTTGCTGAAAAAACAACAATGGCTAATTCCCAAAGAGCACAGCACGCGACAGGTAGTGGCATTCCACGCAAAGGAAAGGCCGCTACCGAAAGAAACCAGTATCAAAAAGACCGATCGCAAAGCAAGCGCCGATGCCAGCGTCCAAAATTCCGAAGAAAGGCAAAAGGAAAACCGCAACGGTCAAGAACCAGAAGAGAGTGACTTCCCTAGCAATGGGCCTAAAATCCTCTGCACACCGAAATCCCAAACCCCTACAACCCCAAGTTCCCCCAAACCCTGAAACCGGTATAGAAACACAACACCCTCAAAACCCTAAATCCTGAAACCGTGTCGAAACACAACACCCTCAATCCGCAAGACCGGGACCGACGAAAGCCCTCTGCAGGGTCCCCCATGGCCGCGCGCACGACGGCTTCGCAGATGCCCGGGACATCATCGGCGTTTGGGACCTCACCGACCTGGTAAGCTGTCGATGATGAGCCTTAACATGGTCATGTTTTGAAATGGCATTGTCATTCACTATTTATGTTATCATTGTTTGGGGTTTAGGGCTTAGGATACAGACCCGACCCGAATCCTACGGGAACTACAGGGAGAGGAAGTAAAGCAACCACGGAGATCGAAACTGCATTCACACATTGCCAGAGGGTAGATGTAGCTGGTATTACCTGGATCCCACAAGTTGTTCAGGAAGACTCTATGAGTACATCGGGCGACGCCTGCGAGTACTGTGCTAAGGCCCGCTGCAGATCTCAGTATCGCATGATGTCAGCAGTATGATGACAAGAAGCAGGTCCGTGAGTAGAATCACAGTTGCTATCGTGAGATACCGCTCTACAACTTAAGTATTCGCATACAGCCTGCTTCTGGTGCTGCACCCGACATGCCAGCTCGTGATCAAACCGCAGACATGTGTTTTCAATCGTGTGGATCCGGCCTCCTTGCAGAGTGTCAGGGCTGTGGTCACATCTTCGGCCAAAGTGGCAACTTGCTTCCTGAAGCATTGGGTGGCCACTTGGCCGCTTCAGGTTTGGGGTGGAGTTCCTCGGGGCTGAGGGCATTGTGGAAACTGTGTTGAAAACGATGCTTCTACATACCGATATATAACTATACATGTTTACAGATATATATATATATATATATATATATACATGTGTATATATATATATATACACATGTGTGTATATATATATATATGTACACATGTGCATATGTATATATGCATCAACCATGCCTTGAGTTCCTTCCATTAATCCCTCTTACACTTGGCAGGGCAATGGCCACGGTACCGGCCCAAGCGCGCCTGCCGTGGAAGTGCTTGTTCTTCTGCCCCTCGACGACGATAGACCTTACGTCATGACTCACATCCGGGGCACAATGCGACATGGCAATGATTGTTGTTGCTTACGCCGGCGTTATCATTCGGGACTTTTGCAAACTGTAACGCTGTCGACATTCACGATCACTCTATGAAAAGACTGTGCACATGCCGATCGTCTGACTTCATTCACGCAGCAACCAATGTCTGTCCCTCGGCAACTTGGCTCGGAACATCCACCTACCAAACCTACCATAGCAATAATTACTATTTTTAATAACAACAATAACCACAATCATCATAGTCGTAGTCATCATAGTACTATTATCACTTAACAATAACAAGAATGATAATGACAATAGTATGGTGATGTGACAGTATACACCGTAAATAAGTCAGTGCGGTTTGGCTGTTTCTGAGTGCCGGACGCTCCGATGGCACCCAGATGCTCCCGCACGCATGGCACCAGTTTGGACAGGTGCGTGTTGCTCGTCATCTCCTGTTCAGTTGAAGGGCATGCTAGCGTGCAGAGGTCAGGGGTGAGCATGAAGACCACGAGGGTGATGTCTGCTATCTTACGGACTGCCACGAATGGTGATATCGAGCTGGGATGAGCACTTGAGTTTGGAGCTCGATCTTCACAGGCTTTCGTTTAAGGGACGTTCATACACATGCCCAGACAGACTCACAGTCGTGCATGCAGGATCTCATGCGGAGAGGGAGCGAGGGAGGGACAGAGAGCGAGAGAGAGATAGACTTCGAGCAACAGCACAGACACTAAGAAACAGACACACCACACAGCTCAACTGAGAGTCCGGGAGCTGGTGTTTTTTAGTCGTGTACATCTGCGTCGAAACATGCAAATTCCCCCAGACGGAACAAGGACGCCAACATCGCCCGAAACCTGTGCTCCTAAAACCCAGCCTAAAGCACCAAGTCCTAAAAGCTAAACAAGCCAAAACGTACCCCTAGCTTTCGGGACTTCCATACGTCGGCCCTTCTGGCCTCGCGAGCTTTGGCGGCGAGCTGCGAGGCATCAACTTTACCACCTGACTGGGAGTCCTCCGCGGGATTGGGTTCAGGCTGATAAGGATTACTTCGAAGGGTCCAGGATAAGGCTGCAGGATTTAGGGTCTTCCTTCGTATTCTCCGCCGACCACCTCCCCGGTAGGTACAGAAAAGAGGTCGCACAAAAACAAGTCGTGGCTTCGGATGGCGTTTATGGCGGCTTTACAGGGCAATCGAAGCGTCTGACTGACTTCTGAATCTACCCCAAACGTAAACCCTAAAGGTAGCCCGGGCCTCAGTTATGTTTCAAAAGCAATAACGTACCCGAGAACCCTATTCTAATCATTGAACCCTATTGACCCAAGAAAACAGTCGAGGGAGCCTGCGAGGAGACCTCGGGTTCCTTTCCGCTGATGACCAGAGCTGGCAAGCTCTCTTCCGGCCTTTAGGGTTTATTAAGGTTTAGGGTTTAGGGTCCTTTTCTGGTGCCCGGAAGGGGCTCAACGACGGGATTTGGGGTTTGGGGATTCGGGTATGGGGTTTAGGGTTTCAGAAAGTAAGGGCCGTTAAAAGAACAGTAGCAGTAGTAGTAGTAGTAGTAGTAGTAGTAGTAGTAATCTTCAACGAAAGACTCTTGAACAAGTGTGCCTGAGTTCAACTACGCTCAGACTTCACCGGAGAGGCTTAGGCTGAGGCCTTGAGATTCCATCAGGAGTCAGCAGTGGTGGTGGTGGTGGTGGTGGCGGTGGTGGTGGTGGTGCATGATGATGATGATGATGATGATGATGATGATGATAATGATGACTCGCTTGGTTGCGATGACGACGAGTGTTCATGCATGCGTTTACGACTGCATTTACTACTGGCAAGCAGGCAGGCAAGCAAGGGAGCAAAGCAAAAGCCCACGGTCGATCGAACCACAGGAATGCAAGCCGGTTTATTTGCAAGAGCAACTTTGAAACACAACTAGCAACAGCGATCATAAGCCTATGGCCGGCAGAAACAAATCGGTGAAAACAGTGCTCACAGTTGAAAAGTTCAAATAAACATCGGACAGCCATCGTCAAAAAATCCTATCTTTCTTTTAGCCGAGCGCTCCGAGAATGAGGGACAGGACGTTGCATTGAACGGTCTTGACTTACGAAGACTGGTCCGAAACGTTGTCTTCGAACGATTTGTGTGTGCTATGTTTGCTGCCATCCTGTTCTTGCAACTGCTACTCATGCAGACTCGCAGTACTAGCATGCATCCCGGCACTCCTCAATTCCCTGATTATTGAAGCAAGCCGTAACATAGGGGCCTGAACAATGAGAATAGGGTTTTGGGGTGAATTGTTAGTAGAATCATAACAAGGAACCCTCAAGAACGGTATTGGTAATTGCTCATGTCTTCGTAAGGATGAAGCCAGCTTACGGTGATTGCATGCATGCATGCATGCATACATACTTAACTATACATCTACATACATATATATATATATATACATGTGTGCGTCTATTGGCCTGTGTGAACCTATACCTAAAATCACAAGGGGCTCTAGCAGCGAACATGCTGCTGCCTTCCGAGGCTCGAACGCCCTCTCTGCACTCGGCGGAAACTGGAACTTTGGCGCCTGCCACGCCGAAAAAACAGAAGCCCTTTCGGTTTTTCTATACTCTACAAATGCGGTAAACTTCATAAATGCTCTAAACCCTATACTAGAGCCTGACGGCCAAAGCTCAAGAACCCTACACCCTTGTAGTCTTTACAGCAGAAGCCAGGAACTAGGAACATCATTATCCTCATGCCTGTAAAGTAGAGTATAGGGATTCCCAGCCCTAATCATCCTAAATCCATGTTCCAACTGCCAACTTTCTTGGATTCACTATAACGGAAAACACTCTATAGCCAATCCCTGACCCTAAACCCTTTAAGACTGTATAAACCCCGTTTCACTTCACACCCTAGACCCCTTCTCCATGGATTCGGTATCTGAATCTGCGCGCCTCGGGGACAGCTTCCTCTATCGCCTCCAGCTCTCCAGCTTTCACGAGCTGGTCAAGGACCTTCCCAGGAAAGAGTACCATGGGGACATAATAATGGGGAGAGCTTTTTTTTGACCCCCCCCCTCTTTTTTCTGACCCTTTTGTCTTCTAGTTAACCCCCCCTCTCTTTTTTGACCCCCTG